TTTTAATGTTTATTTACTTTTGAGAGAAAGAGAGAGACAGAGGCGTGAGTTGGCGAGGGGCAGAGAGAGGGAAACAGAATTTGAAGCAGGCTCCAGGCTCTGAGCTGTCAGCACAGAGCCCGACACAGGGCTCGAGTTCATGGACGACTGGAATTCATGGACTGCTAGACCATGACCTGAGCTGAAGTCAGACGCTTAACCAACTGAGCCACCCAGGCACCCCAGAATTCTCTTTTATGGATGAAAAAATATATCTCAGATTCAAATCCAAGGCAGTATTTGAACCCACATAGTCTTACTCTAGGTTCATGCTTTTAACCATGACTGCAGTGATCAATCAATGGTAATTTTACAGTCATTATTATTAAAGGATAAATGTTATGGATGATCAATCAATGGTAATTTTATAGTCATTATTATTAAAGGATAAATGTTATGGATGAAATTAGGAGAAGGGAAGTAGCTCCTGTGTGACATTCTTGAACATCCATATGCTTTAGACGACCTTGATTAAGATTTAGATGACACATAACAGTTCTCTTGCCACCACTAAACAGCCTCCCCATGTAAAATGAGACTGATTTCTTCCAATAATGATAGCATTACAGTTTAGGGGGTGGGGGGAGTCGTTTTTGTTTTTGAGTAGGCTCCAACGCCCAGCACGGGGCTTGAACTCACGACCCTGAGATCAAGAGCCATATGCTCCACCAATTGAGCCAGCCAGGCACCCTGAAATCATTTTTTAAGGGGGTACATAATCGTTTTCCTGATCTGGGGGAAGGAACAAAGTTTGCTCAAATTGTTACTTCCCCTACTCCTGTTTCTGTTTCCTCAAATTCCAGAAAGTATTGGTTACACCTTGGCTGTCTTTTTCCCCTGTCCTTCCATATGTTTCTAACCCCTGATGCTGCAATGGCAACATTTCACAAAATATTTAAACCATTTCAAAAGTGGAAACTGGAATATAATACCAACATTTCTTCAGCAAAACATTTGAATGCATTTTTTCTGCCCAGAGACCAGAGAACAACAGTATGCTTCTGGGAGAGGGGAAAAGGAAGGATAAGATGTCTTAATTTAACATTTACGGTACCTTGAGCCTTTATATCCACTGAGATCTTTGTCCATATCCAACTCAGGAGTGGATTCAATGATTGCTTGAACTTCTGACTTCTCTTCATTTTCAGCAGAACCTTAGGAAAAGGACAAGATGACATAAATAATGCATATATCACATACTGCCCCTAATATAAAAATCCTGTTGCTTTAATGGTTGTAAATTCATCATTTCAACATAAAAAAATTTTAAGGAGTGGGTTCTAGGAAACATGGGGTTAGACAACATGTCATATATTCAATTAACAGTCAATATCAGAAACCGGTTTGTTTTGGGTTTCTTGGGACACAGTCCATTGCATCTCAGGCCAGAACGCCTTGTTTTTGTTTTTTACTAACTAAGGAGTGAAACACAGAGAAATTAAAGATGAAGACTTATGATCTAAGGCCAGGGGCAGAAAAAGACTGTTCTCCTGCGTTTCAGGCTCCCCAAACCCAGCTGTCCAAAATTTTATTTGATCATCACCTCTTTTCAGCTTATTTACAATTGAAGATAATTTTATAACTCTAAAGCAGTAACACTCCTAAAATGTATCTTTTCATACCCACATGATCTTTTCCAGAAAGTAACTGAGGTAAGAACTGAGGTCACTTACCTGTCGATACATTTCTAGTTTCTTGAGCTACCTGTACTTCAATATGCTTGCTTATCTCTGACTTATTTGGTGTATCTGCAGCCTTCACAAATCCTTCATTATCTTCCTTTAAGGGAGTATCCGTAGGAATTACTGCCACATCTGACGCAGCTGTTGATGCTGGAGTGGTAGCTTTAGATCCTCCTTGGCTAACATCAGAAAGTTCATCCTACAAAATAAAAAGAATTATGGTAAAATCTTTAAATGATTCATTTACTTTAAACCGTTTTCTTAAATGGGTTAAGGAAAAGACTTACAGAGAGAAAATTCTATTAAAAAATCAGTAATAGTCACTGACTGAAGGGCACCCAGGTGGCTCAGTTGGTTAAGCACCGAACTTGGGCTCAGGTCATGATCTCACAGTTTGTGAGCTGGAGCCTTGTGTCGGGCTTTGTGCTGACAGCTCAGAGCCTGGAGCCTGCTTTGGATCCTGTGTCTCCCTCTTTCTTTGACCTCCCCTGCTCACCCCGTCTCTCTCTCTCAAAAATAAATAAACATTAAAGAAAAAAAAAAAAAAGACTTAGTGAAGTGCTTACACATACTAAGTATTTAAAGTGTTAGCAATTATTACAATTTATAACAATACACTCTGCACAACTCTGAGAGTTCTGAAACACATGGCCTAAGGCAAAAGTATAAATAAACGTAACTTATTATGCTATGGTGGGGGATGATCTTTAGTGACTTTTATTTCTCCCTTTAAAATGCTATCCTTTTTAACTATTAAAGAACGTTGTTAAAAACTAACAATATACCAAGCAAAATTAAAGCATACTCTAAGCTTTGTATTACACCATCTGAGAGATTTAGGTTGGTTTTGGTGCTGAGAAGTCAGAGTGTGCTCAAATTCAAATTTAAAACTCTACCCAAGTATAAGAAAGCATTTTTGTCATACGGTCAACTACTGGTGCTATGGTGGACAGAAATTACAATGAAAGCAATCACACTTGGAGAACTTTATCACCAAAACTCTTAGCTTTACAACATTAAAACATTTTCACCTTCATTATCATCTCCTAATATTAATTTGCTATCATGAATTTTGATGTAGTACAAATTTCACTACCAAGAGTAGCTGAACAAATATAAAACCAATTACCAGATGAGAATATAGATTTACGTAAATTGTATTTGCTGTGGCAAATCAAGAGCTCTTTATCCAGAAGATGTGGTGTATATATACAATGGAATATTATTCAGCCATAAAAAAAATAATTAAATCTTGCCATTTGCGACAACATGGATGGAGCTAGAGAATATTATGCTAAGTGAAATAAGCCAGTCAAAGAAAGACAAATACCATATGATTTCAGTCATATGTGGAATTTAAGAAACAAATGAACAAAGTGGTGAGGGGGAAACAAACTGAAAACCAGACACTTCACTATCCTGAACAAAAACATGGGTCGCAGAGGGGAGGTGGGTGGAGGGATGGGTGAAATAGATGAAGGGGATCAATGAGTATACTCATCTTGATGGGCACTGAGGAGTATATGGAACTGTTGAGCCACTCTCTTATACACCTGAAACTACTATAACACTGTCAGTCTCAAATATAACACTGAAACTAAATATTTATAAATAACTGACATTATATGACTGAATATATATATACATATATGTGTGTGTGTGTATATATATATATAAACTGAATAAATAACTGAAATTAAAGTTTAAAAAAAGTTCTTTATCCCTTCCACAGTGTCCTGCCCTCAACTCTTCATCCCTATCCCAGGCTCTGAGGGTTGTTGTTATTTTTTTCCCCTGATTTTTGTTTGTAAATGATGAGAGACGTAAAACATCACAGAATGTGAATGCCACTCCAGCATGAGTTACCCATTTAAGAGTCTGAGTATTGTGACTCTATTGGTGGGCTTGAGCTCTAACACATGGTTAAAACCCAAGTGTTTGCCAATGATGTTCATCCCAGAAAATGTGTGCTATTCTCCACATTTATTTATTTTTGAAAGACAGAGAGACACAGAGTGTGAGTGGAGGAGGGGCGGGGGGGGGGGGGGGGTGGGGTACGACACAGAATCCGAAGCAGGCTCCAGGCTGAGCTGTCAGCACAGTTTGCGGGGCTCAAACCCACAAACCATGAGATCATGACCTGAGTTGAAGTTGGATGCTTAACCGACAGAGCCACCCAAGCGCCCCTACATATATATACTTCTAAAGAAAGAGTGTACATATGACATAATTTGTAACAGCAAAAAACTGCAAACAACTTAAATGCTTCAAAACAGATTAAGCAAATTACACCATATCCATATAAGAGACTAATATGCAGCAATTAAAAACTGTGTTGTAGAAGGGTACTTCCTGAAATGGAAAATTTTCAAAATATTTTGCAAATGAGACTGGGAATTGAAAGAATTCAGTGCAGGGGTGCCTGGGAGGCTCAGCCCGTTAACCATCTGATTCTCGATTTTGGCTCAGGGCATGATCTCACGGTTATACGATTGAGTCCCTCAGCAAGGAGACTGCTTGAGATCCTCTCTCTCCCTCTGTGTCCCTCCACCACTCACGTGCACACATGTGCACACGCACACTCTCTCTCTCTCTTTCAAAAACCAAAACAGAACAAAAGAACAATTCAGTACAGTATGAGCAATTTAAAAAAATATGGCTAGAAAAAGCTCTGTTACAACAATGATTTTGATAGTGGTTGCGACTGGGTAGTTGGATAATGAGTGATTTTTGCTTTTCCTTTTGCCCTTGTTGGCATATATATATGTATATACACACACATATATATACATACATATATGCATATACATGTAAGTAGAAAAAATTACAAAACTTAGAATATAAATCTATATATGTAGTCTCAAACTTCTAGCTATATAAAGTGGCTACAGATAACAGGTAAAAAAACTTTTTACTGCTTTTAATATTTCTCAGTTTCTAAATTTTTTAACGGTAGGCACGCATTACTATCATAAAAAGGAAAAAAGTAAATTAAGTTTAAAATCAATTTGAATTGGGGCGCCTGGGTGGCTCAGTCGATTGAGCATCCGACTTTGGCTGAGGTCATGATCTCGTGGTCTGTGAGTTTGAGCCCCGCGTCGGGCTCTGTGCTGACAGCTCAGAGCCTGGAGCCTGCTTCAGCTTCTGTGTCTCCCTCT